CATGGCGACACGTCGCCACGCTGCACCATAGCTTGAACATCTAATACGGTGCGGTGAGGTGTACCCATGCGCGAGATTCTGTGCAACTCCCTCCATCTTTGTGCATATTAACTGTACAAAATTTTTATGTTTCACATTTTTAGGACATTCCGCTATGGTTAACTATTTTAAATTCTCTTATAGAAATCAAATCTACACTAATACATACTATACTATACTGAGCTAAACAACTTATGTCAATAAGTTGTTTAGCCATACAAATTGTTAGCGCTACGAAAAAATAGGGATGATGCTAAAAGGGCGAAAATTTAGGGTTGTACCTATTTTTTAATGTAAAGTCATAAAAAAATGAAATATATTTTATCCAAATAACAAAAAAAGTAGGTTTTGAGGTGGGCCACCCTTATCTAAGTAACTATATATGTGCCACTATACTGCAGCTTGGTTCTGAATGTACTGGGTCGTTCCAATGGGTACAAGGCCATCTGTGTGGCAGAAAACTTACAAAGTCTGACTTATACTACATTTGAAGTATGAAAATTTTGTAGTATAAGAGTTTGCTCTTGTTCCATTATTAAACTTTGTGTTTGAAGACCCACTCCTTCAAATATAATTTGTCCCTTTCTATTATAATGTAAGCAAAAGAAATATAACAATGGAGGTTGTAAAACAAATAAAATTGTACGGAAATAAAACTGGTTAAGTACGAGTCGCGCTTGCATACAGATTGTTCCGAACGTATCAACAAAACCTACATTAGGTTTTGTTACGACCTATAAACGGACTTGGTGGTCTAGCGGTTTAGCACATCGCCTCACTTCTGATGGTCTCAAGTCCGATTCTTCGCGCAGTACAAACTTTTGTATTTATGAGTACGATTGTTTGTACTAATCTGGGTGTTTTTTGTGTACGTTATATATATATTTAAAAAAAAAGTATCTATATCAGTTGTCACCATTAAAGGCACCAGGCATCAGTTGTCACATTAGGTCCCAAGATATAAATTAGGTAGGCTATTATTGAGAGAGGGGTCAGCAAAGTGTGACAAGGGGCGGGAGTCATCCTAAATGTCGAGACATTACATTTTAAAATACAATATACATACAAAAAACGAAGCCTTAGAAATGTGATTAGCTTTAAGAAGGATGGGGCCAATAAATATGAAATTCGAGTGACACAATTAGCGACTGTACCCTTACCGTAAAACATAGGGTGAATTGCACGTGATCAGCGAACTGACTTGTAAATAGTTATAAATAGATGCACTGCCAATCTAGCAATGCAGCTCCAAGGATAATGGCTCTAAACTGCAATAAATTATGATTGACGATGTGTTCGTACACAATTGTGTCAATTTAAAACCTCTTAGCATGTTACGATTTGATTTGGTCCTGACATATTTACATTTGAGCTGGCCGCTTCAGATGACATGCCTGTACAGCCTGTATGACCTGTGCCAAATTGTTACGTACATACACGTAATTACGTCCGGTTGTAGCAACAAAACATTGTGCTTTTTTTGTGTTGGATACTGGTTTTTTTTTAACTGTTCCAATGCAGTTGGCTGAAACTGGCCTTTACATCTTCTCTGAATAATATGGGGCGAGTGCAAACTCGCATGGCACTCCAAACCCGTAGAAAGTTTTATGGAGCGGCTGACGGTTAACGCCTAAAAAAATGGGGACTCTTTAAATCGAATCACTAGGAATTGTACATAATGGCTTCCAGGCGGGATAACATGGAGGTGGGCCTGACATATCATGTCAGGCCCATCTCCATGTTGTCGCGTCATTGCTAGGCATATTTCTTAATAATGTAGTTCACATTACTCTGGTTCAGTCGTCACTCTCATAGGTATAGTTTACAAAAACTATTGTGTTTAACAAAATAGTTTTTAGAATGTGAAAAATGAATGCATTTTTTATATTTATTTTTGTTAGCTGTAACATTTTGTGTGTAGATATATAAAAATCAATAGCTCATAGTTTGTATTTTATGCGTTGCCGTACGATATTTTCATTGCGATAAAACTTTGTTAACTTATTGCTGGCAGTTAGTTAACGCGAAAGTTATGAGCAGAGTACGATGAACTTACGAGTACAGTAGGTGGCGCTGGTTTCCTACCAGGAAATGTATTAATAAAAACTTTAAAATAAATATATACACAAAGTTTTGCTATAATTATGTAGCAGTGATATGTTCAGTAAGTTAAAAACTAGTTGTAATTTAATGAATAAGCAAAGCTTACATTTTAGTCAATATAAACATAATATAAGAATATCTAGAATAATTCCAATTAATATTGTTAGGCAGCCTTTTGAATCGATGGTATACTAATGTCATTTTCGGTATAATATATATTTTTTTTTTATTATATATAACAAAGATAGTCTTATTAGACGCATCCAAATAAACTATATAAATTATTGAATTAATAATATTAAGAACATTTCGGCTTTTGTTACATGCATATATGTTGACACTACAAATAAAACAAACTAAGCCATGGACGTGCTTTCAGAAGTAATAACATCTAATACTGTTAAATTCTACAAATGAATTTTGTTTATAATTCAATAGACACTAGGGGAACGGATAGAAGAGGATTCGTCCTTGTCAATACTCGTGGTGTGTTAATAGATAATTTATTTATAGTTCGTATAAATATTTATCGCCGTTTCAATGGAGCATTTAATTACCAATACACCACTATCTTACCAGCGGTGATCCCCAGGGAGTCCACATCGAGGCGAGTGTCAATCACCAAAATCACTGACCCATACCTAATTCTTACAAGACATAATTATACACTGAAACCTCCAATGTAACTAGACAATATAACATTGCTATTATTGTCCACCTTACACTCTAAATCAAATAAAAAACCATATTACATATTTATCACTTTAGTAATAAAATTCAGAACAAGAGAGTTGAAATGGCGCTGTGTTGGAGACACATTACGTAGAAAGGATACATAAAGCAAGATATCAACTTCTTGGTACCCAAGACGACCCAAGAGGACAAAGGAAAAGAAATTGATCAAATAGAAGGGAAAATGAAATCATTAAAACACCAAGGATACTATGGACCAGATTCACTCTATATACTCATTGAAAGAAAATATTAGAGGAGGTCGTTGTGTAGCAACAACAAACATGTTACGTCTGAATAAAAGACTACCTATATAATATAAATCCGAATTGCGTAACTTCATCCGCACCACAATTTCATAAAAAATACTATTTAATCTTAACTTTGTTGCTAAAACTATAGGTTGTAGATATGGAACAAAATCATTACGTTTCCATTGGCCCGTCCGTCAAGAGGTACAAACATATTTCTTATTAGTAAACCTGTATAAGGAAAAATATGTTTTATTGAACTAGGTATATTTCATTGCTTTACACAGTTATATTTCTCTATATTATATTCCATTCTTTTTTCGATCGATGCAAAGTGATTTCAAAAAGCATACAGGCGCACGCGCGCCTAATTACTTCCTAAACATATAGGGTAGAAGGAAATAGTTAGTAATGTGGAATAATAATCCTAAACCTAGCAATCTACCATGTAAGTCCCGCCATGATGTCCCGACGTTTCCTCTGAAAACCATCGTAATAAATACCTAACGAATTTGTCATAATGAGCTAACTAACCAGACATGCTCATCTCATCATCCTCTACTGATGCCAGCGTAAACCGTTAGAGCAGGCGGGTACACTATTCCATTATCATCATTACTTAAAAACCTTCTATATGGGCTTACGTAGTGGTCGCCATCAAACTCCTGTTGGAAGGATTTAGACTGATATGATCTATATATTGCATTGCATTCAATCGTGTTAGAGAAAAAGAACATCGTTGCCTGTTTACTTCATTTTACATTACATTATTACTACTTGTATAACAAGTTATTTTACAATAATTCGTTGTTATAGTAATTCTTTTATTTAATTTTTTTCTTTTAATTTTATGTTATATATTTTTTTGTAAAAAAATCGAACTCTCTTTATAACGTTCATTACATTTTTAAGAAGATATTCTTTTGTGTATTAAGTTAAATAATTATAGAATTGTTTATTCAAAGAAACTTGAATTTAAAACTTTTGAATAGTTATACTTTATTTTTTCTTTATGAATATGACAAAGACGCCGATCATAAGAACAAAAGAAGTTTGCATGTTGTTCGTTAAAATATTTTTGTAACTATACTATATAATACTAACTGCCAAATACCACTAATTCCTTAGATATTAAATAGACAACCACCTGGTAGAGTAATTAAATAAGAGTAAAGCAGCAAGCAGCTTCTTGTTTTTATCACGGATAATAAATTACATGACGTTTGGTTTAGGCATTATTATAACAAACAAATAAACATATTCCACATTTATAATATTAGTACGAGTGAGCCCGTGCAGTGACCCGTATGTAGGTCATATGTGTAATGTGAATATTTTACAAATATACGACAGGGTACCCCGATAAGAGAGAACTTTCAAGTACTTTCAATATTGTATAGAGGAGTCCTCGCAAAACCACTTCTATTAAATTACAATGTTTCTGAGGTACACAAGCAACTATACAGTCGAATCATGGTTGTTATATTGATCGTTGGGAACAAGTGGATTGCAATTAAATAACCGAAAGGTTCAAAGTTCAAATTTTAATAAAAAGTTGTGTCTTTAAGATATTGTCTCATTTTCATGCTGTTATATGATTGCCTTGGTGATCTAGCGGTTTAACACACCACTTCACTTCCGATTGCGGGTTTGATTCCGCGCACTGTACAAACATTTGTATTTATGAGTATGATTGTTTGTCTATCTCGGTCTTTTCTTTGTATTTACAAAAAAATGCTTACTATCTATTCACTTTTTCAGTGTAGCACTTAGGAATGGCATTATAATATTTTTTTCTTAAACATAATTAAAACATACCATGCGTTCACGGTACCCTTAATTCCTAAATTACAACAGTAAACAAATACTACTTACTATGTGGACGACTTCCGCTTTCGCGTGATGCTCGCCGGTGCTGATATAGCGCTCTCACAGCCCGACATCTCGTACTCCTCGGAGCTGAAGTTCTTCCTCTTGCGGCGGCCATGATGAGAATGGGAGTGGGAGGGCTGCACAAGCGGCTCCAGCTGTGGAGTGTGTGCAGGGTGTGCGGCGCCAGCGTCCGCCCAGCCGCCGCCCGCGCCGCCTGACGTCACCGCGCACGCTCCGCAACCAGCGCCCGTAGCCACCGTCAACTCGCAGTACGATGTCGCGCTCGTGTTGGTCCTGTAACCATTAATTCTGTTATAACTTGATAACCAAGAATATTTTAAATTTAAATTTATGTTTTTTTATACAGTTCTGTCCACATGCACACTTCTGTTGTAACTTGAGAATCAAAAATATTCTAAATTTTAAATTTAAGTAAGTTTATAGATTTCCACGACACTCCAAGCCTCAGGACTTATGGGCGGTTATAGGTAAATTCCTGCCTGACGGATACGACTTTAGTCTGAGGCCATCGCTACTTGTGCAAATCTTGGCTCAGGACATCGTTTCAAATTTCGATTCTCATTCGAATTGGTCGGGGGATCGCTCGGAGAGGGCATATGTGCGAGCGCGCATTCTGTGTTACATCAGATACGCTCCTGATGGTGGTTGAATGAACTTATCGTGCAAAGACAGTTTCATCATATTCCCGGAAGACGTCCACTGCTGAACAAAGGCCTAGGAGTTTGTCAATGCAGTTTACAGTAAGTAAAAATGTAATTGATCGCTGAAGTAACAGATGAGAGTGCAGATGTCATTCCAAACCCGCGGATACTATCACCCTGAAATGGTGTATCTTTAGCTTGCACCGTTAACGCATGCGGAAGCGCCATTCCATTATCACCTATTAAAATGATACCTACCTAGTTAGTCATTCCCATTTAATATACCTAGAGTACGTAGGCACGTCCTACATTGTTGTATGTAGTGAGTCAATAGCAAGGCCATCGGCTGCATACACGCAGTTTGATGAGCTTATACTATGCAGCTGTTTTTATTTTATTCTCTGACTTGTTGACGGAATCTTACTTCCGTCTTACTTCCGATGGTTGTGGGTTCGATTCCTCGTAACGGTACATACATTTCTATTCTAGAGTACTATTGTTTGTATCGGTCTGGGTGTTTTATATTTATATTATGTAAATTTAAATGAAACGATGTATTTTTATCTGTTGTATTGTACTCATAATACAAGTTTTGTAAAAGTTTGTTGGACGGTGCTGTGTGAATACTTGTCAGATTAACAAATATGTATTATAAAATAGATTACCTTTTTGGATTGGTTTATCAATTCATATTTATTTAAGCTCTACGAATAAAGGACGCACGAAACTATTATAGAATTACGTATCAAGTGGTTCACGAGCACCTTCAGTTGTTTATTTCTTGGTGTCCGTCAGATTCGAAATCACGATTTTTATATTATACACTAATTTCAGAAAACACTAATTTAATTATATTTAAATAGATGTATTTTTTTATTCTTAATAATGAATGAAAATGTCATTGTGTACCGCCTACACTAACGATATATGCTGCCCGAGCACCATTGAGCACAATGGAGGATAATAAGATAAGCATGAAGTCAGATGATTTGCCTATTGTGGCGAATTCACTAGAAATTAACAAAGATCCAGGAGGTATCCAGGAGAGAGCGCGTCCCCATTACTATCAATTGCCCCTCCCAAAGAAACAAAAAACAAGAGTCATTAAAAGAAGTAACAACTATTAATAACACTCTCACTCTCTCACTTAAAAAAAAGAGTATAGTTACATTTCAAAACATCAGTCAGTATAATCCGTATATTGAAATTCAATCACGAAGTAATAACAAACAAACAGTGAATTGTACAATTTTTATGCCATTCATTATCCCAGATTCATTTGCCCGGCCATAGGGGACATACACTGCATTAAAGGTTTAAACTCTCATTTAATTAATTGTTCTTTTGAAGTGGATGGCATGGCTAAAAAATAACATCGTAAAATTGAGAGCTGGGCAGACACAACTATTATCTGCGAATAGATATTGTCAACAATCGGTGGATTGCGAGATATTAGTCGGCAAGAGATGGTTTAGCTAAATGTATAATTTAGGTATATTTTTTATAAGTTTATATAGAAATAGAATTTATTCAAATAAACACAAAACGACTCTTTTGAACATTTATATATATATTTTAATCTATCACACTTTCGGTACACGGACTCACCAAATATAGAATGTGCAAAAAACTTAAGTGTTGTTCTTTTAAGTAAATGTGGGTCAGAATATTTTTTTTATAGAGATGCAGTGAATTTATCGCTTTTTTCATAAAATAGTAGTACGAAATATCGCTCTATTATTCCTACAGATGTCGCGTATACATTTTACTTTTTCTGCTTCAGGAAATTCAACGATACGAAATACTATTTTTTGCATTTTCTAGCGAGTCGCTTCGGATTCACTCAGGTTATTTCAGGAATTTAGACACTATTCTCGTAAAATAAAATATATTCCATGTTACAGCGTAATATGGAATATATTTTATAAATTCTTCTTTAAGGTTAGAATGTAACCTCTATAGTAAACAAGTATATATATAGCGTAGATAATAATAATGCATTTCTTAAAAATACTATAGAATTTAGAAATATTTATAACATTTCTAAAATATGTAATAATAGTAATAATAACACTAGACAATTCACACAGTGCCATATAGTACCAAGGTAAGCAGAGTTTGTGTTATGGGTACTAGACAACTTATATATTTTGTTAATACATACAAAATATAACGAAAACAGCCCGACTGAAACAAACAATCGTACTTGTAAACACAAATATTTATGCGATGAATCATTTCCGGAACCATCGGAAGTAAAGCGCTGTGCTAAACCGCTAGACTACCATCAGTAATATTCTGAACCTTTGTAATTTGTATTCACATATAAATTTATATAATCAAATTTAAAAAAAAAACAGTTTTATTTCCCTGTATAAATATATATAATAAATGTAGTGGTATAGTAAAAAATATCTATTGAAAAGTGCATAAAATCGTGTTAATTTTTATTAGACATAATTTTTATTATAACTATAATGCAAGTATTAATCGTGATGTGAACGGTGTGTAAGTATAATGCTCGTGTGTGCCAAGGTTGCAGCCCTGGCATTGACTCGGTGCAGCGTTACATTGTTAACTGTTTACATGATCCATCGACACTTCGCTTTCGATAGTCTATCTATCGACTAGCGGACTAGTCTTTTTTATACTACGATGGTGACAAACAAGCATACGTGCTCCATCTGATAAATAAATAAAATTGCAGTGTGTGTTTTCAATTTCAAATCAAATGTATGTGAATGTATATATGGTGCTTACATAAAAGAAAACAATTTTGATTATTTTGTCTGTTTGTTCTTTCTAATCTCTGAAACAGGTCGACCTATTTTGACGACATTTTTCCCTGCAGATAGCTAGTGTTATAAAGAGTAACTTGGGCTACTTTTATTTCAGAAACATTATAAAATAAATTGTAAAATGGTAATTGACAGTACCGTTGTAAGGGACAACAGAAATGACAGTTAAAAAGATATGAATGGAAGAGAAAAACATATTACGCAAAAACCAATTACAATTGGATAAGATGTTAACTCATTTGGGCTTTGCGATGTTTGTTTAGCAACTTTGATAGAGCATGACTTTGTACAAAGTCTTTTGAATTGGTACTTTCTTTATCTATTTTTTGAATCTTGCTTACTAACATGCGATTCAGTAAACGGTACATGTTGTTATTGTAATATGATATATTTCCATTTGTCGTTTGCGTTGCTCCTTCTAACATTAGATTTTAAGAAATTGTTACTAACACAATGTATAATATGTAATAAGTATTATAAGGTATTATAAGGCAGCGTAATAAAAGGTACAAGTATCTTAATTCTGCAAAATGGCAGTACCACACACGCAATATGGCAAAGTGATATTGTTATGTATATAGGCGACAGTTACCACGTACTTCACTTGGCAAAGTCACTAGAAACTTAACATGATGGTTTCCAGGTGGAAGCGCGTATAGACCAACTGACATGGTACATTACTGGCAATGGATTCATTAGTCCACATTACTAGAAGCCCCTTCTCCCCACAGTAAGAGATTACCGTGGTCCGTATTTATATATCTACAACATCATATGATTTGCAGGTATACTGCCAACCTTTTACAAAGTTATAATCTTTGCTTTAAAGTTACAAGAAAATTTGTACTCTTCAATAACGGAAATATTAGCTGTTTATTGTTTTTAATTAAACACTATACGTATTAAACTATTCTAAGTTCAGAATAATAATAATATGACCAATAAGTTCGTGACATTAGTTAGGCAAGTTATCAAAGTAAAACATATATTACTATAATATTTATCGTATATACATTACTGTATGTTGATTGTATCGTTAACTACTGAACAATGAATACTATAATATAGTTCGTACGATCTCCATCGCAATTCCCCTCTGGAAATTACCGTGGTTAATTCTTGCCGTCTACGGTGTGATAAACATCACTTAACTTCATTCTCTCCCTATCATCTCCCAATGATATCTGTGTATATCTATTGTTAATTCAATACATGAACATCAAAAAAAGTCTTCTTTATTTAAACTGTAAACGGTACTGTATATTATCATCATTATCAGCTACTGCAGTCCACTGCTGGACAAAGATCTCCTCCAAGGCACGCTACTGGGCACGATCAACAGCCTTTCTCGTCCAGTTGTACTGTTTAATAAGGAATTTTTGTTAAGCATACTTTTACAGAGAGAAAAGTTTAGCGTGGGCACGCCAGTCTCTCTTATTTCAGCTGCCAAGAAGCTTCCTTTTAAGGTGTGTTTCGGTTGAAGGACGAAATAAGATAGTGAAATCATAACATCTTAGTCTTTTGAGAATGTCAGATACTATATTTAGCCGCATATACATACGGCTTTTACCATATACAATCAGGTGAGCCTCCAGTTTAATTACCATTCCAATAACATAATAAAATATTCTCCGAGTAAGAGAATACAGCAATGAGACCACAATTTACCTCCATTTTTTCCAAAAATAAAAAGTTTATTCGATAGTATTGTATATATATCGATAATTTAATACTTCACGTTAAAGTTATCGCGTGTTATAAGTACCTATAGAACTGAGTAAATCGTTCCGTAGCCTTGACAGTGATCGTCAAACGAGTTAATGAGCCAGATAAC